TTTTTTTTTTAATTTGACAAGAGAGAATCGTAATCTTTTTAACGCGACATTTTGGTCTACGTACGTGATCGCGGTAGGTCAGATCCATCATGAAAGGATTTTCGCTGAAACTACGAGACCTGACTCAAAATCACTTTTAAAAATGATTAACTTCAGTTCAGTAGTCTCCCACAAAGAGGGTTACTTTGGTATACCTAAAGAAAATGGATGAAACTTGCCGAATAAAGCTCCAGTTTTTTTTCCCTTTCGTGAAAGTCACAACAATTCCCCATTGTTTGTTCGTTCTTCAAAGCATGCTTACCAATTTCTCTAGCAAATCATTATTTTTATACACCAAACTAACTAGATTCGTTTACTTCTGCACGAGAATCGGTTAGTCACAGTAGTAATCATAGCAATTTTGAAAAAAATATTTTGATAACAGTATTTCGATAACCAGATGACCTTTGCGGTGGGATTGAATTTTTTTGAAATTTCGTGTTTAACCCGTTGATCTTAAAGAGCTGAAATATACATTTATTGCACTGCCTGCCTTAAATTTCTTGAAGTCTTAACCAAGAGAATTACATGTTGGATCAAACTACATGTATGTGATTATTGTAGTCTATAAACTGTGGGAAATTAAACCGCACTAACCTAATATACGCATACTGAAAGAAAAAAAAACGCCTTTAGTTTACGGTGTAAAATCTTTCATTACAGATAATACATTCTGGAAGAAATTATGTGGTTAGCCTCCTAATCTGTATCCCTTTGTTGAATTTTTGCTTCTTGTCACCTGTCTACTTTATGGTATTCAGGGGTAAGGTAACGAATCTGATCCAACCGACGCGTTGGCCGACACATTGGCCGGACCTCATAGAAAGACTCTGCCTCGCTGGTACTTTCGCTTGGCTCGAAACTTCGACTCGTCGATCTCCACTGTTTTTCCTACACCGCCGATCTTCATGTCAGCGTTCATAATTTTCGTCGAAAATACCGTTCGTAAGTCGCTCAGCGCACAGATCACTGTAGGCTTGAAAGGCTAGTCAGTCTGGCGATGTTACCTCCAGAAGCCTTGATAGCCCACAGGAACATTAGATGAAGCCACGTACTCAGGGGGATGTTGGAACCTTCGAAAAACCAGGTTCGAAAAGCCAGGTTCGACAGCGGCTGTTTGTACAGATTCGGATCAGATTCAAGCGAAAGTACCAGCGAGGCAGAGTCTTTCTATGAGGTCCGGCCAACGTGTTGGCCGACGCGTCGGTTGGATCAGATTCGTTACCTTTACCGTATTCAGATATTGTTAAGAGAAATTTCATTTTCATTACTCCTTGTTGCAAAAGGTTTTAACAAATTGTTGACATCCTAGCTTCCATTTTGGCAAGGTACATTGCAAAACCCAAACACTATTGATGAGTAATAGAGTACAGACTTCCTTCTATTGTGGTCTGATCTCTGCCCAGTATAATTCTTAGAAATAAGCAAATAAAGTTGCTCTTAGGACCCAATGTTAGAAAAGAAGAGTGTTGTGTGTTTCAACTGCATCAATCCATCCACTGACTTTTAGGAAGGGCCAGTACAGTGGCAAATCCAGGGGGAGGGTCCGGCGGGTCCGGACCCCCCTATCAGATCTGACGCTTACAACTTTGAGACTGAAATTCTTACATTGACAGGATCGTTTATCACTTATTAACGGGCTGATTTTTTAAATGAATCTAAGTAAATGATAAGCAGTTAAGGAATTATCATGTGCAACCGCGACTGTTGGGAGGGGATGTGGGGGAGAAGTAATTTGCCTCAAAAGAGTCCAACAGTTTTTTCTGAACCAAAGTTTGGACTCCCCCCCAATCAAAAATTCCTAAATCTGCCCCTGCAGTACAAACTGTATTGTCTAATTTTTATGGTTGTTTTTCTTTTCACAAGGTGGCCAGTGGGGTATCAAAGTATGGAGCCTTATAATCTTGACCGTTCAAAATGCATCTCTCATATTAACAATGAGATACACGCGGACACTCCCTGGTGACATGTACTTTGCTAGTACAGCAGTCATGTTAACAGAGGTTGTGAAAGTAATTACTTCCATGCTGATTCTACTGGCAGAAAGACGTAGCATGATGAAGTGGATGAAGTATTTGTATTCCATCAGTGTTGGTCATCCTTGGGACATGGTGAAGATGCTTGTGCCTGCATGTATATACACTGTTCAAAACAATCTACTGTATCTAGCTGTTTCCAACCTAGATGCTGCAACATATCAGGTACTTAGTGTTAGTACACATGAAGTTTTTCAGCAGTCACAGATGTTAAAAGAAAAAAGTTGAAGAAAAGGTCTTGCCTGTTTAGAAGAATGTTGCCTACCATACAGATTACCTGTACATACATGTATGAAGAAAAAAGCTCATGGAAGACTCAGGTTTCCTTTCTTCAGAAAAATCTATCTTGGATTCATGAATCCTATACAGAAGATTTCTCTATTTTATATTTTTTAATTTTTTTTTTTTTCGTGAAATCCAGAAAGGTATTATAAATCCAATCGCTCCATTAGGACACTTTCTGTGGGAAAATATTCAAGGAGTAGCAGGCAATCTTCTTGCTGAAAATATGATTCATGGCAATTTAGAGCCATAGGTTATTTTACAGAATCTGATTGAATTTCTGGCGCAGTTGTAAAAGTTCCATGAAGCTGAATATTATTGTATTTTCATAAATCCTGGATTAAAATTCAATTAAAATATACATGCTAGATATAATGTACAGTTTTTGTTGATCTTTCATTACTTTATTTAGAGTTTCATCACAATGCTTAATGACATAAGGGTAGACTTTTTGTTTTCTAGCTGTTTGGTCAAAAGAAGCCCACTTGATCTTGGATCAGAAATCAGATCTGATTAGTTAAGGAATACAATTCATATTGTGTGTTTTCAATCCATTTCACTGCAGGTATCTTATCAGTTGAAGATTCTGACAACAGCACTCTTCTCAATTGCCATGCTGAGTAAGCCAATAAACAGGGTTCAGTGGCTGTCTCTCTTTATGCTGTTCGTTGGTGTGTCTGTGGTTCAACTACAGCCTGTTCATGGTCCTGTGTCACAGAGCCCTGAGGAAAACATCTCAACACAGAACACCTTATCTAAAAAGCACAACCCTTTACTGGGGCTTGCTGCAGTTGTAGCTTCTAGTATGTGCTCAGGATTTGCAGGTATGTAGAAATTTTGCAGTAGGAGAGCATTGTTAACCTCTTGCAATGTAACATTAAATATAAGTGTTCTCCAGTGTTCTCTTTACATTTCCCATGTTATCGACAAGGAGAATTTGTTTGACAATCATTAGCTTCATGAATCTGTGATCATTTCCTCTATTCTCCCAACCTCTATATCCTCTTTAACCCTTTCACTCCCAAGATCAGATTGTTAACTCTCCCCTCTTGCTGCTTCACGTTTCCTTGTAAATTGTTACGAGAATATGGTGTTCAATCAAGGTAACAACTTCTACTTGATGAGTTTGAGTATTCTCATTACCTGTTTGCTGGATCATTACAGGGGAGAAGTTACAGGTTAATCACTTGTGGTAGTAAAGGGTTAAGGGTGATACTTCAAGAAGAAATTAGAAGCCAGTCACTCTGAATGCTTTCACTTCTAAGATCTCATGTGTTAAATCTCTTTACTGTCTGTCATACAATTCTTATATAGTTAGTTTAGAGAATTTGGTATTAGATCGTCTACAGTAATTATCCCCCTACTCGATACTTTTCTATAATTATTCTCGACTTTTGCCTGCTGATACTTTACTGACACTGTAAGGATAAATTCTGTCTTGATCATTTATGAGTCAAGAGCTAAAGGGTCTAGTGCAATAACAGGGGAAATATCCTCTATGTCTAAATAAGAAAAAAAAATGCTCAGACTACAAAAATGTTCCCAGAAAATGATCTTAATTTCTTAACTTTAGTCAGAATACATAAAGTTACATTAATTTTATATGACATCCACTTGACATCCGTTCTTTAGGTGTGTACTTTGAAAAGACCCTCAAAGGAACTGCTACACCTCTGTGGGCCAGGAACTTCCAGTTGGCTATGTTTGGGGTCATTATTGGTACCATGGGCATGTACATCAATGATGGAATCAAAATCAAAGAAAAAGGCATTTTCTTTGGCTACCACAAACTTGTCTGGCTAATTATTGCAATGCAAGCATTTGGGGGTCTTTTAGTAGGTGTTGTGGTTAAGTATGCTGATAACATTCTAAAAGGCTTTGCTGCAGCTGTATCAATTGTTGTTTCCTGCATTGTATCAGTTTATTTATTCCAATTTAGTCTCAGTTTGCCTTTTGTATCAGGGGCTGGTTTGGTTATGCTTGCTACATATCTGTATGGAATAGGACAGAAATCAGTTGTTCAAAAAAGCTCTGCAAATGGCTCCATAGACCCTAATAAAACTGATTAAATTATATTTCCATATGTAGTGGCTCTAAAAATCTTAATGTATCTGATTGGTCAATAGTATTACATAATTACATGTATAAGAAGAATCTGTACAGATTATAAATTGCTTTTCAAAACAGTCAACAGATTTTATAGAATTTGTTAAAAAAATATTGTGGAAAATGCTACTAATCGTTATTTCTCTGTTACTTAATGTTTTGAAAAATGTATTATATTGAAATATGTCGCTGCATTCCTTGCATGAAATTGATATTGATTGAGTTGAATAATTTGGCAATTATGATTTCTTGTGTATACTGCTCATGTATTTTCATGCAAGAATGTTTTAGGAATAAAACCAGTTTGTCAGCTCAACAATTACAAATAGTAGAAAAATTAGATAGAGGTAACCTTTTCTTATCAAGCAGCTATACCTCTAGAGGAAAAAGTCTGCTGAAGATGGTAAAGTACTAGGAATAACTTAAACGGTAATAATGGAACAATACAAAGGTTTTATCTCTGCCTTTAATAAAAACAATGATTGCAATCTTACAGAAGGAAAGAAGGATGTATTAACATGACTGACATTTTAAAATGTTATTTAAATTTCCAGAGTTGAGGAAACTTTTTGAAATGAGTACTATTTCAATGAATTACACTGAAAGAATACTGTAAATAAACAGAAAGAAAGTCTCTCAATTACCAGAATTCAATTTTACTGAATTTTAACCGAAAATGTTCAGTAGTGTGGACATAAAGAAGAACTTCTTTTTAACATCTTCTCATAGCACATGACAAGAAAAACAAAGTTTTCCTTTTCTGAAAGAAGCAGAGAAATAGAAAGCAAGACTTATTTTAATGTAATGTTGAAAATTTTCCAAAAGTATTTTTCAAAGACAGAGATGACATCTCCATAAAGTACGCAGACACTGCAAAGTAATAAGAAATAGTAACTATATTAAAGCAGACACGTATAATGGACTTACATGAAGACTGTCAATATCATTTTTGCACATTGCATTTCACTAATAGTTGACAAGTAGTCAATTCTCTGGAGAAGGACATAAACCCCTTTTTGTCCCTGCTGAATTTCTGTAATGTATTGCTTTACAAAAACATTTGATAGACAGAATTTCCATGAAGCGCATTGTCTTAGGTTTAAAAATAAATCCTCTAGGTAATCTTGAAGGCTTCTTCCTGAAACGATTGTACTTAGTTACTTAGGTCTGATGATTAAACAAAGTCTTGTTGTTTTATAAATCCGCGTCCTAAGGGAGTCCACAATTTAGCTGAACCTTTTATCTACAATACAATATTCTCTATTTAACGAAGGTGACGTAATTAACCCGACGAGTTATCTAAGTTACGGCCTTCACAACAAACCCACCATCCCACCCCAGGGGAGGACATCCATCACGCAGTAATCTCGTGTGTGGGAAATTAACGTCTCCTACCCCAACCCTGCAGGAGACGGGACCTCCATTTATTCGTCCCTATCCGAGAAGACTAGAATATCTAACCATCTCTTGATGTTATAGAAAGGTAGCAAATTATTCTCAATTATTTTAAGACCTTGAGTGTTGGTCCGGCCGGGGCTCGAACCCTCGACCTCCCGCACAACAGTCCAGCGCACTATCCATTGGGCTAACTGAGCATCAAGAGGGCCTAAAGCTGTCAGTGGAAGGGCATTTATTGAATTACTGATCAACCTCTCAACTAAACAGTGGTGATTACCTTATTATACAAAATGGTTTGAAGTTTACTTGGTCCCGCATCTCGTAGATGTATGATCCAAGTCTTTTGAGTCTTCATTGTCCAAAGTGAGTGCAGCTATGCCACTACTAAGAAGTAAACAAGAATTGGCTCATACAGGCATACAACGGTATAGACCAATTTGAAAGGAATAAACTAAACCCAATTGAAATGCATCGGCTCAAAAAAACCCACATGTGGCTTGTAATTCGCTAATTCAAGAGAATTCTCTTGCTGTGCACGAAACCAACCTCTATATATCTCTCTACTGATACCAAACGAACGCTTGTTCCAAACTGTAGTGTGAAATCCATGTTCCAAGGTGTCCCCTTTTAATGGGGACCTTCCAGACCGTAATGGTGTCCAAGGCTTTATGGTGTAACACCAATTCTTCGGCATGATTGTGACTTCAATTGTTTCAGAAATGTCAAATTGTTACGAAATCTCAGTGCTCTCTCCCGTTCTTCATAAGAAAGCCTTGGGAAAAAAACTATTCAATAAAAATAGTCACCTGGCCAGCTCATCCATCTCTTTACTATGACCACCTTTGACACTTGACATTTCCGACTGCCCTCCATTTGTCTTCAACAGGTCTTCAAGAATATCAGAGTAGCTATAACTCTTTCGTCTGGAACTGAGAGGCACTTGGGCGCCAAGCATCTGTATGAAACAACGTCTGGTATGTTCATTCAGTCCGGGCACGCAAAAACATTTTTTATTGATGTTTCTAGACGCGCGTAATCACCCGCCTAACGGTGTTTTAAAGTGGTGGGGAAATATGTATAAAGTCATATTACTCCTTACCTCCCGGACAACGATTGGTGTTATTTCAAACCTCCTAACACTGTCCACAATCACCTTCTTGCCAACCCCGATTTGGTATATTGGCTTATATACCATAATGGCTAAGCCAATAAAAAGTCTTGAATTGCATTATCCAATAATTAAGTTTATAATATTACCCCTTACCTCCTGGACAATGATTGGTGGTACTTCATACCTCCTCCCACTGTCCACAATCACCTTCTTGCCAACACCGATTTCATCTGAGAATGATAGCCTTCTTTTTCCAGCCAGCTGATTCTTAATCAAGCGACTCTTTTTCATTGATCGTTCCAAGCTCTCACGCTGAGTTGCATTTGGTGAAATTATGGAACGAGCGGTTTCAAGCTCCTCTGCAAGAGACATTCTTCGTCTGTTGTCGCCTCCAGAAGTGCAGTATTTAACAATACGTCGCTTCTGAGAAGCCTTCTTCTCGTTCTTTTTGTTCTTTGAATGGCCATCAATAATCAATTTGGCAATTTTTATGCTGTTCGCGAGGGAATCTCTTCTTTCAGAAGTCTCTCTCTTGATAATCTTTCTCCTCTCTGCACTTCTTGGATCTCTCTTTCTGTCATCAGCGGCAACGTCCGCCCATGTCCTCCATACGATTTGGTTGTAGATGCTCTCTCTATGAGCCATTCCGCCTGATGCGGAGAAATACCAAAAGATGAAATATTTATTTCGTGATCCAGGGCTACTTTTTAAGCTCCTATTTTTCCCTTTAAAGCTGTCATTTTGATGTAGGTATAAAATGCAGCCCCTTCCAATATCTGGCCAAGTCTTTTGCACTGGGCAAAACTCTCTTCATTCATGCCACCTGGGGCATCTGAAGCAGTTCGACTACCATTTCCCTTTATCCACATTTCCAAAATTAACCCTTTACCCCCTGACATCATTATGTAAATTCTCCATACTGCTCTCTATACATTTTATTAGGAGCTGACAAGGAGAATTTGTTTAACAATCAAGAGCTTCTTTAGTTGGTGATCATTTCCTTAATTCTCGTGACCTTAATGAGTGATTTGGAGGTGATATTGTAAGGAGAAATCAGATGTTGGTCACTTTTAGGGCTTAAAGGGTTAACCTCCTTAAGGCTCAATAGCGTGTAGTTATTGTGGGCCTGATAATTAATGAACTCAATGATAACAATTAATCCTGGTGTATACCTGGTACTTGATAATATTGAGGTGGTGGTGGTGGAGGGTTTGGTATCCGCTGAGCTGGAGGGTTGAACGGATGTCCTCTGTCAACTCTGATACTTATCAGTCCATCTTCATTGTGAGGTCCACCTCCCACATAATGGTCGTTATTCTTGGTGCGCTTAGATAGATGTGTATAATACTTTCGAACTGGCCTTCGAAGAGAAAGTGATGTGAAGAGTTAATTACTAATGTCTATTGGTTAAAATGACAATAAAGGTAACATATCATAAGGTCAGTTTTGGACTATTGTGATAAGCCCAGGTGAGGTAAGTATTAAAATTGACACCCTTCTTCTCTTAAACAAGGGATTTTAAGAGCTACGAGATTTATAAGATGTTCCCATTAACGTTTGGGCTGGCCATCAAATTGATGCATTTAGGTTTGAACCCTATGATAGGTCTTTGTAACAAGCAACTTCATATACCTTGATTTTACAAATTCGTCTGGCCCTAAAAAGTCAGCAAAAGGTGACAATGGGCGATCTTAAATGTCCAGAGGCAACAACAGGAACAATAAAAAATTCATCCATGACTTAAATCAAGACCTCTTGATTCGCAGTACAGCATTATTTGCGGCTCTCAAAATTTTGCTATGGCTCAAGAAGAGAGCGTGCGCTCTGATAGGTCAATTCAGGGTCACTTTTTGCCCATCGGTGTACGCTACTGACGTGAGTAAATGTTTCCAAGTTAAAAATGTTTCGCAAGAAACTGTTTTTTTTATGTTATAAAACAAATGGTAAGCAACACAGCGTACCCTTTTTGAGTTATGGATGAAATTGGGAGCTTTCCTTAGTACTCAAGAAGCTATAGTCGCTTGAGGTATTCTTAGCAACCTCCCGCGTTCGTCCATAACTCAATAGTGTACGCTGTGGTGCTTATCATTTGTTAAATGAGAACTTACATTTTACCTACCATAAACCTACTAAATCAAAACGGTAAACCACTATGACTTTTAAAAAATGTAGCTTACCATGCAAATACAAAAAAGGCAACAAAAAGTACAATCATTATGACGGAAAAGCCAACAACAGCTCCAGCGACTGAAACCAAATTTTCCTTCTCCGGTACTTCCTTTTTCACTTTTGTTGCGCGACCATAACCATGGTCAACTGAATTCAACTGAGAAACCGAATTTCGATTCAAGTCCCCATCACCAGGCGATGACACTTTGATTCTCTTCTTTTTATTTTCGTAACCTTTCTTACTCAGTACCGGTGCAGGTGGTTTTCCTTTGGATGGGAACTGTATAATAAATATGGCATCTCCGTCTCCAGATGGACTTAGTGGTATTTTTCTCTTTAGACCATTCGAGAAAAACTGCTTTGGGTCAAAAAGCTTCTTGCCATCAGACACGTTGGCATACTTTACTACAGGATCATCAACTGATGGAAAATCAGATCTCGCTGATCTTTGTAAATCTGCTTGGTTTTTCAGTTCCGCTTCTCTGATATCTTGAGCTGTACTCAAGCTCCATTTTTGCTCTTCAGTTGTTGATTCAGGTTTAATATCTTCAGAATTTTCAGAATCCCATTCATCAATCTCTGTGTCATAACCAAGTTCCGCGTCTTTGGGATTTCCAGAGCTCCATTCTCTGTCATCTGTTTCTGCTTCAGGCTCCATACCCTGAGTTGCGACAGAGCTCCATCCAGGATGAAGTTCCGTATCTTCAATATCTCCAGAGCTCCACTCTCTGTCATCTTCTTCTGCTTTTGGCTCAATATTTTGAGCTGCATCAAAGCCCCCCTCTCCAGAGCTCCAATGCGTATAATCTGCTTCTGCTTCAAGATCCACATCTTGAATTGCATCTGGGTCTCTTCTCGAATCAGGTTCAATACCTTCAAAATCTCCAGATCTCCATTCTTTGTTGTCTGATTGCGTATCAGGCTCTTTAGTTGGAGTAATGGAAGATGATCTTAACCCTCGTTCTTTAGGCGCACTAGAGGCCCACTCACCAAAATCAGCCCCGTATACAGGCCCTCCAGTTGGTTCTTCAGGATCGCGATGAGTGCTATCGGATAGCTCACCCAAATCACCTACAACCCGATTATTTCTGTGCTTGATAGACTCTAAAGGTAGTGAAGGAGAAATGTGCCCCTCCTTGAGTAATTGTAATGGTAAAGAACTCCCTGAGAAACAAACAAAATGCATTCTTGTTATAGAGTGGCAACCAGGATGCTGGATAAACATGACATCTCTGTCTTCCATTGAGAAGCAAGGGATCTTTAACTCCAGAAGAGAATTTACATCGCGATTTAGCGTCAACAAAACAAAACGAAGCAGGACAAAACAGATTATTCGAGACAATGATCGAAATTTCAAATCTTTCTGCCGGCAAAACGCAACAACAATTGTAGCCGTTTCGCTTGAGACGATTTATTTTAGTTACAAGTTTTTAAAATTTTCTTAAACATTTTGTAAATTAACTAGCGTGGATATAGAAAAATCAGAGTAAATGGATGGGGTTCTTTCATCGCAGCTTCTAAGAAGCCTGTTTTTTTTGTATTTTCTGTTTCGATTTCGTTTCTCTTTTTCTGTCAACCGTTTAGGCTCAGGTGCTAATCGCTATTTTGGAGGAAGGTCTAAATATGTGTGGGACACTTATCAATTTGTTTTCCAATGGCTAAGTTTGCTTTTTATTAGCACACGCTGTAATTAATGAGGAAATTACTGCTTACCTTTGCCAAGGAAGGCAATCGCTAAAGCGAATAAAACAATCCAGACCACTTTCATCTCATTTTTGTTTGTAAATCATCTCTGCATAAAACTCAAAGACTTTCCAAATGAAAATCGATTTACTGTGATGATGTGACGTCACAAACGTTAATTATTACAGAGAAACTTAACAAGGATAAAATGATGAATCACGTCAGTAACTATCTTCATTAATCGAATGGTCTTAACCACGGTCACGCCAAATGGTCTTAATCACGGTCACGACATTTTTATATCTTAACAGGCAATTTGACCAACTGGGTAGAAAATTCAGCTGTTGTAAAACATGAACTGCTGATCGACTCATAGCGCGCGCACCTAAAGGTCACGTTACGAAATATTTTTGTTTCCCCAAATAAGCTGATAATACCGTTAACTTGGTCACGGTCAAGAGTTTCTAAAAAAGACGTTTTGAGCTTTAGCCCTGCGTCTTTCACTCTGATGAGGTGCTAACGCTCGAAACGTCAGCTTTACAAACTCTTTACAATACCGATATACATTATAAACTCACTTGATAAAACCAAATTATCTCGCTATAAAACCTTCCCCTCCCCCCACCGACGTCGTAGCACAGTTTCTTTGAAAACTCCCCCCCCTCCTCTATATTAAGTACGCTGCATGGATTTCGTACATTCTTTTTGAGTCTCTTTATAACTGGAAACAAAATTTCTACTGTGAACCTTCATCGCCTTTTTTGCGTATGGGGGCCATGCATTCTGAAGGGTTTTAGTTGTTGGGTGAAGGCCTGAACCAATAATCTGTGGGCTCACGAGGTCTTCAGAGAATGGAGAGAGAATAGATCCAGGGAAGAACTTTGAATAAATGAAGCCTCGGAATATTTGAAATACAACTGGAACAAGTTGGAAATCTGATCGTCCGCTAATAATCAACTTAGCGTCAATCGCTCTTTCCCAGGGTTGCTCTTTCCTGCGTATGGATAGCGCGCCGGAGCGGGTAGGTGATTGCTAACAAAGGGCTTGGGCCTGTTTCTGGTAGAGCTGCTCTGTTTTCTTTCAAGATGGGGGTACGGTTACAAAAGTTTAGAAAATTCTACCAAAAAACTAACAGCAAACAAAATGGACTGGTAAGGGTGCCTCTTTCTTTAGAAAAAACAAAAGCAACAAGAAGAAGAAACAGACAAATCAGCGATGAGGGGCTGGTGCTGCCCTGGAAAAATGAGCTAAATTCCTTATCGCCAATGACAGTCATCAGAATAGCTGTCAAATAACTATACATGAAACCGCTTCTTACACTGCATTACAAAATTAACAACCACCCATGCTTTTATTCAAAAATATGTCACACTCAAAATCAGCTAGAAAATTACAGTTATGCCTATTCTTTGTAAAATTATTATTTTCTCAATCCCTTAGACGCGTCTTTAATTCTATCTTTTTTTAAGTATATATACGGAGAACTATAGAGATATGTTACCAATTATAATCTGTAACTGAGATATAGAAGCATAGTTAGGATAGTTGATAGTTAGTTGATGGCCTCCTACCATTGTCGTTTCCATTGTCGTTTTCATTGTTATCGCTACACCATACTACTTTTTCAATTGCTACTACCACTGCTACTGTTATTAACATCACTGTGTCCGGTACTACTAATGTTTTTTTTATGATATTTTGCGATATAAGTTTAAGAGAGCTGTAATCTCAAAATGACGCTGACGTTGCAATGCTTTTTTCTCTGTTTGTTACTGACTGATATGGTTCACTACACTATTAACTCCGTCAGTGAGCTTGCAAGGAAAGCTGCCCTTTACCATTGAGTATATGGGAAAAGGTTTGTGTTACTGACTGATATGGCAACTAACGCTATCAATTCCGTTAAAAAGCTTGTAAAAAGAGCTTCTCTTTATTACTGAGTATATGGGTAAATGTATGCTAACACGGATAAGCCAAGAAATTATTTCAGGAACTTACCCTATAGCATGGCAAACTTTCTTTTTTTAAATCTATCTTTTGTCAGGTACAAAATGTTCTCAAATCCTCCTAGATAGCTCGAAATCCATACCAGAATTGAATCTCCCCCTCGCGTGTTTTCCTGCAGATGTCCTGGATTTGCAAAGACATTTTCTGATCACCAATACTGCGATCAATAGCAGCAGTACTCCTCCAGCAGCAGAACCACCAATGATTCCATAATTGGGGCCTTCTTGAGGAACCGCGCCTGCCTCCGTTGGTACATTCGAAGTAGTCGCCCCTTTGTTCAAGACTAGAGATTAAAAAAATTTGTTTCAAGCGTGTACTCAACTGAAAAATGGTTTGATGGTCTGGTTTTGAAGGTATATTTGTGAAAAACACGTAGGGCTAATTTCGCCTTTTATTCATCCGCTTGAAGAAAGATTCGGATCAGTTTACATTAAACATGCGACGTGTGGGTTAATGTTACTCATTAATGAATTGTTACTACGCTCTTAAACCATTTGCCAATTTATTTTAACGATTATTAACTTGTTTGCACTTTGGATGTACATAACATTTAGATGAATTCTTTACAAACTCTTCGCGACTTTGTACGGGGGATTTCTACAATACTGATTCAACAACAGAATCGAATTTATTCACAAAGGGAAACAAACCCACCAGTGAACGCCGAAGTCTCAGGCAACGAAGACGTTGATGAAGTTTCGGATTTCCTGTCTGTGAAGGGATTTGTAGATCTAGTCAAGGGCTTTGTTGTCGGAGAGAAGCCGATTTGAACTGTCAAACTGATATCTGTAACACAAGAAACGTCCCCGTTGTCACTGGCACTAACTGTGAGATGATTGACCTTCTTCGTCAAGTCGGACACCACCGTGACCACACCGGTTTTAGGATGAATAGAGAACGCTTCATTTTTGGATAGGCTGTAAGTTATGTCGCTGTTTACTCCACTGTCCAAGTCAACTGCAGAAACTTTGGTCACGGTTGCTCCAGGAATAAGTGCAAGGAATTCTAGTTTTAGATCTCCTGGTGGCTCGATGAAAGATGGACAATTGTCATTTTCATCCAGCAATGTTATCTGTACAGTGGCGATTCCAGATTTCTGCGGATATCCGTTATCTGCTGCAACCATTGTCACGTTGAAAGATTTCATTTCATTTGTCTCAAAATCCAGCGTTTGTGCGCTGTAAACCTTTCCAGACTGTCCACCAACAGTGAGAATACTTTCTATTTTATCATCACCCAGTATGGTATAAAATATCTGACCGTTTCTACCGAAATCTGTGTCATTGGCTTTTACTTGTAAAATCACTGTTCCGACTGGAGAATTTTCTACAATTGCAGCGCTGTAAAATTTTTGGTCAAATCTCGGAGGATTGATGTTTGGTTTTGCCTTCTGATCGCAATATACACCGTCAAACGCTGGATAACAGGAACAAATGTTGGGTAGGATGCAATCTCCTTGGCCAGAGCAGTTTTTCACAGCACTGCAATCAGGGACGCTGCATGCTCGACCCGACCAGGAGGAGTTGCAGAGGCAGAGATCGTAGCCAACACATTTTCCATTTCCTGCGACACAAAATGAGAACACCGTTTGTTAGCCTCGTTAAACCGCATTGATTTGTTCTAGAAGCTAAAAAACAACTCGGGAGGGAAGTTGTGGAGGAGATCGCCAAGATCAATATCATAGAGACAGGATTGAGGACCACCCAAAGGCATTGACATTCTCTGTGACCATTTTTTTTTGGACCGAGGAAGGCAAATAATTTTCATTTGTTACTAACAATAATGATGCTCTTCTCGCTAGTGTGATATATCGATGGAGCGGTGACAGGGGAAAAAATTGGTAACCAAACCATTTTAAATTTTAAAACGATGTACATACCGGAGCAATAGTTGACAGCCTCACAAGAAAAGTTGCTGCAGTCAGTTCCAATGTATCCAAAGTCACATCTGCAGAACTCGGCTTCCACGCATGCGCCATGGGAAGAACAGTTGTTCACGGTTGTGCAAGTAGGCTGACTGCAATTATCTCCAGTGAAACCAAGGTAGCAACTGCATGACACATTCAGCAACTCCGTCGAAATGCAAACGCCTTGGCCGCTGCAGTTTGCAAGATGACTGCAGTCCGCCACCCGACCGCAATCTGCTCCAATAAATCCCGGAAGACAGCGACACTTGTCGCTGGAGATGCACTCTCCCTTTTTGGAACATTGATTGACAGCTCCACAGTCAGGAAGGGCGCAGCTTACTCCGGTCCAGCCGTAATCACAGGCGCATCTGTCAAAGGCCACACAGCTACCATGTTCTTATCAACAGCAAGGGGTAGAAAAAAAAAGGACAGAAAAACATTAATTCTAGCATTGGACCAGGGGAACGTTATGAAGGACAAACAGAAAGAAACAGCGAGGGAAGAGAGAAGGAAATGACATATATCTCTTCGAAAACTATGAAATAATTTCCCAAGATAACTCACCAGAGCAATAATCCAGTTGCTCGCAAGAGTATTGAGCGCAATTACTTCCAGTCCATCCCATTTTACATTTGCATACATCGAAATCCACACAGATTCCATTGCCAGTACAGTTTGATACATCGTTACAAGTAGGAATAATACTGCAGTTAGCACCTGAGGATACGAGAATGTACCTGTTTTTAGAGCAAGTAATATTTCGGGAAGTTAACGAGCTGAGGGTATTTTTTAAGCACAAGGCATCTCTAGTAAGCCAAGAACTTTAGATTTAGACTTCTGTTGAGAACTGTTAAAAGCACAACTGCATAGTTTGAACAAATTTATTGATCTCATCGTTTCTCGGTATGGTTGATTTCCAAAAAAGCCATCACCTCTCTACTTTTTAACTTGCCAGACTAGAATTTTAAATTGAACTTTGCCTTTGATAATGTTTCAGATAACAAACCTATGTAGCCAGGATTACATTGGCAAACATCCGTCGTTTTACAACTGCCGTGTTCAGGGCTGTTACAGTTGTTAACTTCAAAGCAAGTGGCTGTAGATCACAGTATCACAAAAACGTTAGTATCTTGGTGTGATATAACGGCCTGACGTGGGAAAATCACAAAGGAGCACTGCTTTCGGCAAATGAAACCAGCGATCGACCTCAAGAAACAAGCGAAAACGACGCGGTTGCCCTTCATTCTTTTTCAATTGTTTCAAATTCGATGCTGGTCGAAAAATTAAACCAACTTTAAAGTAAGTAAGAAAGTAAAGTCTAAGAACACAACACTTTGTCCCGGCCGGGGCTCGAACCCGGACCACACGATCCGGAGTCGAGCGCACTAACCATGAGGCCACCGCGCCTCAACTTTATTCAAGCTACTTTACTCGAACAAAATAAAAAAAGAAAAAAAACAGCTTAGCTCAAACGACCCAATGAAATGCGATCTTAGCTCATTTATACAGTCTTTGAAAACATCCAGTAGGTAGCTTAACCGAGCTACCTGTTGTCAATATTAGGACTCAATTACTACACACGATTTCAATCATTAGGTGAACGGCATTAGATTTTCTTTATTTCGGAATATAACCTTCCAGTTCACAGCTTCGTCCTTCCCAGCCCAAGTCACAGACACAAAATCCTTTAACGCACTCGCCATGGATGGTTGAACAGTTCAGACAAGAGCCTAAGGAAATGAAAACGATAGGATCTTCGAGATACGATTTTGTGTAAAGTTGACAAAAGGCAACATTAAGTAACCCAATTGTGCTATTGTAAACTTTAGAATGCCAATTGGACTTACTGAGAAGCTCCGAAAACAAACAAACTAAGTAAAAACACTCACACGTAACAAAACTAAGCAAACCTTTAGGCTGAGTAAAATTATATATTTCTTACACAGAATGCATAGAAATAACATTTACAAAATAATTCTAAAGGAGAGATCCAGGTGTATATCCCCTCTGCCTAACACCTGTTGATAAGATTCAAGCTGATATTAACCAATACCTTTGTCACAACTCTTCCCTGTCCAACCTTCGATACATTTACATGATCCATTGACACATCTCCCTTTGCCTGAGCACTGGTCTGGACAGTCTTAAACAAAGAGATTGAGTTTTTCGAAGGGATTATTTTAAAAAAACATTTGAAATATTAACCCCGAAGAATGAGATCTCATGAATGTGGTGAAGCCAGCAGGTTATCGCTTTGACCTTTACAAACTGTTACTTTGAAAATTTCCTATTGTGCACTCTCACACTTTCAGGTTGCTCTGTGTAATAAAACTGTTTATCAATGGCATTTTGTTGAAGATTCAAGTAACGGCAGTTTTTCTCTAGTATCACTTGTATTTTTGGATGCTAAGGGGTAGAATTTTGATGTACACAGAACCAAATGTCCTTCACATTCTAAAGACAAACGAATCCGGTTCTTAGATTTGTGAAATCACCTCCGTTTATCATTTATAGCACTCTTAAAGATTCAAGTTATGGCTTTTTTTAAATCGAATATTTGTATTTTTGGACGATATAGGGTAAATTCTTTTTATAAAATTGAAGAACAAATTATCCTTCAAACTCTAAAGACAAACGAACTTGGTTCTTAAACTTATGAAATCTCCTTACAAGGAACTAACTTCAATGTTAAGAGAACGTACCTCGTTTAAAGGTTTCTTGATCAGTAAATGTCGTGTCATTGGTCATGGCGACATCGAATATGCAGCTTTGTAAATCGTTATCAGAAATATTCAAGGATTTGCACATGCTTGTTGCAATCTAAAGTGAAGGGAAAATAGTTTTTAACACAAATGAGTTATAAAAAATCCTATCTCAAAGAAGTTTATCTCAATCATCTTAGGTCCTCAATCTAACGTTGGAGACTTACTTTAAATTTAGGTTAAGAAAGGGGGTCGCTCATCTGAAGGGGACTCTGACTACATTCTTTTTAAATTGTGATCAGATGTGATGGTTTTTGTTTTTGCTTCCTGTTGTTTGTTTGTTTGTTTGTTTTTGTTTTTTTTTTTGCGTGCATGCTTTATAACAGTGATGGTGCGCCACAGGTTTGGTCAAAGAACTTGGCTTAGCTTTCTATATTTGCTGCAATCGAGTTTCCACTTTTCAATGATGGCAAAAGAACCGCGTGGAATTCAATTTGGTCTGTGACGATATATTCGAGTGAAAAATGAGCAACTGAAGCGTTCTGTCCAATCACACAGGCATGAGGCGTAAACTAACCAATTAAAAACTTGAAAAAAAAGCAATGTCTCAACATTGTCCAATAAGTGCTCAAATGGGGCTGCTAATTACAAATTACAGATGTAAGTTATGGCTTTGATTTATGCACATAATATGTTTGTTAACCTGTAGTACAGACTGGGAAATTCCTTCCAGTGAATACATAGGGATGTACGTAGGATCTGTATACGTTATGTCCATTATGTCATCGTGATGAAAGTTTGATGAGTTCCATGACCAAGAGTCCCTTGTACCTGAACCAACGTGACAATCCGTAATTCTCCCTTTAAAATGAAAGAAACAAACTCATCGTTATATCTTAGGTTGATATAGTTCATCAATATGTACATTGCTTATCACGCAGGGAATTAAGATTTTTTTGCCTGATAATGACTACCCCATTTATCGTATTTGAAAAGCGGTTGGAAGGTAGATAGCGCAGATACTGTTACTCGATACTTGGATGAAAGAAACTAGTCGTCCTTATCCATGCTCATTTTGCTCATCCTTTTCTCTTAAAGGTTTTGAAGTCCATTTGCGTCTACAAATTCCCTCCGTTACTAGACCCGCTTAGATTGGTTACCTCAGCGTCTGTCCTCTACTGCTGATTCTATTGTTGAAATCTCTCTCTCCTGGTCAAAAACGTTCTCAACTTGAGTGACAGAATTGGACTTTAATCCTTTTTTTCTTTTAAGTATGCGCAAGAAAGTTCCAACGACTAAAGAAACGATTTCAAAATGACTCATTTTGCATTCAGCACTCATCAGTTATTTACGGCTGCCCACTTGAAAAGGGAACTTTTCTCGAACCCACCACACACACAGTAGAGATATGAACATCTTGCTGTAACAGCGGATTTATTCAGTGCGCACTGTTAATTAAAGATCCTAATTTTTTCCCTCTATTCTGTGACCTACTGTACAGACTGACAAGACGAGGTTAGTGAGATTTATTTACCTCAAAGCTTCACTCTATTTTAAGGCCATTTTTTGTAACAATAATAAGTTGTGATTAAACATCCACACGTTATTTCTAACTCGGTCATTTTTATAAGCTTTGCTTACATGATTCGGCAAATTGAATAGCGTCATCGTAAAGAGTTCCGTCGGGCCCTATAAAGTCGTTGGTGGCATTGTTATCCATGAAGCCACAGAGTCCTTCAGTGTGACCTTTGTATGCAGCAGTTGGGGAATAGAGAATATTCAAATACTGTCTCTTCATCACCCGACTGTGACGGACATCGATTGTTACTGTTACACCTGAGAGAAATGAAAAAGTTAGACTTTAGACGCAATAAAATGTAGCGGAGCTGGAATGCCGCGGTGACGAGGGCTTTCTTCTCTTGCCTTTGTTTCCTGGGTTCGACTCTCGAGTAGGCATTTATAGATTATGCTAGCATAATTTTTGGCATAATTCGAGCAAACTGGCATAATTTCTGCCAAGTAGCAATGCTAGCATAATTTGCGCATTTTGATAATTATCAGATCATTTTTGATGCCATTATTTGATAATTTTTTGTCTCTAGTCCCAAGCACTTGGTGACCTTAATCGATATTTAAAGTTTTAGTTCAACTAGTAGCATTTGTGGTTCACTGTGAAGCACTGAGCCCGGGTCTAACCTGAACCACACGTTTATTTGAAATTCATTGTGGATTTGTTGCGTTCCTTTCCTGTAGACGAACGACTTCCAGTTAAAAATATATATATATAGATAGATAGATAGATAGATAGATAGATACTTTATTATAAACACCTTGCAGCCATGGGCTGAATTACGGAATATTTACAAGTACAGATGATAAAAAGGACGTGTAAAATATTACAACTTCGTCGTTAAGAAAGAAGGAAAATTATCTACATCTTATAAATATGGCTAAAAATAAAACTATTCTTCAAGCGCTCGGTTTTGCATATGGGGAGAGTGAAATCACTTATTCTAGTTAAAAATATATATATATTGGACTTATTTGCATTTTTTCAAAGATCATAATTTAAGAAAACGGTGGCATAATTTGGAAAAAAGAGCATAATGTTAGCATATTTTGGCCAAAAAAAAAGCAATGCTACTAGCATAATATGCCACTTTTACCAGCATAATCTATAAATGCCTACTCTCGAGATGGGATTTATGGACGGTCGGGCGATAACCGATCATTTCGTCTAGGTGTCATTTCTCATTTCTCCGACGACCAGTTTGTTAACTTCTGAGATCGTTTCACTGACGTTTCTTTTCAGTTTGTACATCTCATAGAAATCGAACCCTTGAAATAATTAAGTTCCCTTACTCTTTACCTGTTTCCTTTCCCTCACTAGTAAAAGAGCAAACAAACAAACAAAACAAACAAATAGACAAAGACGAAATCCCTCCGATAAAACCATTTATTTGGGTGTGTTCGTGGATGAATGTATGAATCAATTTGAGGAACTAAAAGCATTGTATGTTTCAAAACAAAAGTCTACTTCACTAGTATTCATAACTTTTGATCTTGTAAATTAACAAAAAGGAAATATCCTATTGTTTATTGTTTATTGTTTATTGTTTATCGTTTGAGGACTTGCCTGTATCATACTGAAGTGAAATCAAAACGACACTGTTCTCTTCAGCCTCAAACGAAAAACGTCTTTGACGATCCAATAACACTGTACCATTACTTATTTCAACAGGTTCTGAGGAATTACTGGTGGCATTTATTTCGACTCCATCGATTCTGTCGAGAAATTAAGGTGAGCGACAACAAGTTCTTGAATGACACTTGGTCTACCAATTGCAAGGAGAAAGGGATCTATTTGTCCGGGTTGATGAGTCAACATCATAAGTATCTTGAAGAACCAGATCGAACCACGCTTCACGTCGGTTCACCATCGCCACAATCAAAAACAAAGAAATGTCCTAAGAGCTATGGCGATATGTACATTTGACTTATTCAGCCTGCTTGGAAAGACAAATTCATTGACTAGGCATTTAATAGCTCTCAAAAAAAAAAAATAAAAATGTAATAAAGGAGGAGCGTATTATTAATCATACTGATGAGGCATCTACGTCAACGGTCCTTGGAAAATGCATAACCACCCTGAACACATCCTCTATCATAAATACAATTCGTTAAGTGATCAAAATGTACAACTGACAAACCTTGTTATGGGCAAGTCTTGAACTCTTTCAGTCTTGATCGTCATAACGGTAACGACACTCCTACCAGCTTTAAGTGCAATTCCGCCAATGAGCGAAGCTCGCTCGTAGTAATAAAAACGAAATTGAAGACCAAAATCGTTTTTAAAACTCTTGCAACCCCAGAACTCTCCAATTCCAAAAAAGTCAAAATTAACACCTAGCGAAGAAGGTAAACATCAAAAACGCAATTGTTTCTTTTCATGCATTTTTCCTCTAGCGATGCATCGTACGCATTACAAATGTTATCAAGAAATATTAGCCATGAATCATCTTGAGGTCCGAATTTCTTCATAGAGCATTTTGTGGCAATTGTAGTCCAGTAAGGAATACACGCTAAATAATAGAATATGATACTAAAGTCTACTGAGGTGCGTTGAAAGCAAGTCTCGTATTACCAATCACATCTTCAAGAAGCGCACATGTATCGTTCATAATTACTGTAGGCCAATTTAGAAACAGGAAAAAATATCAATTTCTCTAAATAGCATACGCGAAACTAGTCACGCCAGAAAAAATTTTCAAACTCTAAAAGAAAGCTCTCAGTTACAGATGAAAACACATGAGATCGTCCGAAATCTATCACTAACTGAGTAGTTCGGTAAGCAAATTGTTGGATCTCTCAAAGAGTATTGATTTCTCTTCATCTCTTACGCTCGTAAATGAGTAAATGTAGAATCTTTTTCTCCATGTCTACTTACCATCTAATGTCTCCAGGTGTGGGTCACCTCCACCATTTGCAATTAATCGTTCACAAAATTCACCCTCCCATCCTCCTGAACAGTTACACTCCGCCTCACACTTCGGGGCTATGATGGGATTTCCGTTACCTGAGCAGTCTGGGGAACAAATCATCATGATTTTGACGGAAGAAATATCATCGCAGTGATACATACATAGAATAGTAAAATATAAATAAATATATTTGTTATTTCAGTAATAAACCATTTTACCATATTAGGGCAAAGGAACACGCAAAATATGCCACAATATTACCATGTAGAACTGAGAGTGGAGCAACAAAATGGCCGCACTGTATGATGCAAAAATTTTATTTGTGGCTCTAAGGCTTGAATTTTTAAGAAGAGAATCTGTGAGCGGACCAGATTTTGTTGTTGTTCACAAAGAGCGTTTTATTAGTTTCGTTTACGCTGTTATCGTCGTGGGCGTACACCTTATGCAGTCGATTAGACTCTCAGATACGGCTGTAGGAAGTATTTTATAAACGAAAAAGGGAAAGCCGAATAAGAATTAGTTAGCATATAGAACTGTCCTCTAGCTATTTGCACGTCAGATAAACAATTTCACAAAATTTCAAACCAGAAATTATTCTTGTTTCTTGTAAATATCGAAAAATAATCATAAACATGTTTTTATACTAACTTCATATGCTTATGCTGTAGGCTCGTTAAGTTGGCTTTTTCTTTTTTTCGTTTTGCATTTTCTATGACAACTTTACTGCAGTTACGTTCACACTATGCAGGTCATTTATAGCTACATACTCTGAAGAAGCCATGTATCAGGCTTGGTGCAGTTAGGACCCGTTCGTTTCCCAGCACAGATAGGTCCTTTTCCACATGGAAGTTCTCCGGTCTTGCTGTTTCCGAGATAGTAAATCAATGAATGAATTAATTAATTCACATGTCGGCCATTTGGGTAGCCGATCAGTAAGTCAATCGTCTGGTGACTCTTTTAGTCAGTTAGCGAGCTATTCACTGAATCAGTCAATCAAGCAGTCGATTAATCCAGTGGACCAGTGGGCCAGTGGGCCAGTCAGCAAGTTGGAAAGTCGGCCAGCAGTGTTATTTTTGTTGCAATATTTTCCAACTTATTTTATATCTAGCAAAGCCTCAACCAATCTTTTTGCAGCAACATGATCATTTCAGCCCACATTATTCTTTATGAGATTAGTGATCACTCTACGTCTGAGCTAACAGTACTATCGCAGGTTAATTACACGCTTGAAGCACAAGGCGTCTTACAAGCTGTATCACATGATGTGACGGAATAATCAGCCCTCTTACCCATTTCGTGGTGGCTTATCTCTTCTCTTTTTCGGAGTAGGAGTAGGTGTCGGACGCGAATTAGGAGGAAGTTTCGGATTCCCACCTCCAGGTGGTCCCGGTTGCGTCGTAGGTCCAGGTGGTCCAGGACGCGTTGTGGGAGGTCCCACACATAACTGTTATAAGGGAGATGCAAGTCGTAATTAAAGGGAGTTAAATAACGCCATATCAAGCCCACTCACTTCAAAGGAAAAAAGGCAGGTTGAATATGATTGAAAGGTAAAATTCTAAAAGATGGCATTAATTCATATAAGCTATTATTATATCAACTTACTTTCTCCCTTTTGACTGGACATATACATTTCCTAGAGAAAAACAATAAAATATTGATTAAAAAGTTTAATAAAGACAAGATATGTCCGCTATTCACTTATCCTTTTAAGGTCTGTTTTCTTATATTCTCATTTATCTACCAATTAATGTACTTGCTCTCTCTACAAACAAAACAAGGTTTCTTTCCTATAGCTAAGCAGCTGGAATACAGAATTTGGTTAATGTATGTTATCATTATTGTTTTTACTATTTTCTAAATACATTTTTCTTCATTGGTTCATCTAGTCCTTTATGTATTTCATTATGCCAAATCAGAAGGAAACGGATTTTTTTTCCTCTTTAGAACAAGTGTTTCTTTTACCCCCAAAATGTCGAGAATATCCCTCTTTGTTTAACTTTCGCATTTTCAAGAGGAAGGGGATATCTCGTTAGTTTCGTTAATAAATGTGAGTGTAGGATAATTACTCATTTTGCGTCACTGTGCTATATATTGGGAGCAAAGATGTTGGTATAAAACTTTAAATTTCCTTACGAATAGCTTTTCATCTGAGAATATCCCAAAGGCAGCTCAAGTGTCAAATGTTTTTCAAGAAATCCAACCGAGACACCGAGATTTACACCAGAAATTCCGTAGAAGCTTTCCAGATCAGCAGGTTTGTTTCCACTGCATTGTGTGGCGGGAAGATGTATGGATACACCAGCTTCCAGTGGTACGCTCACAAATACCACCATGGAAAGGTCCACATACTCAAAAACAGCTTCAACTGAGAGAAAATGATCTTGATTAAACTTTTTTATAAGACTAGAACGTAGGGTCAAGGAAACTAGTATTGAAAATAGAGTTATTTCCAAGCAAGAATGAAAGATATTCCGAAATTGCATCGATCTACTTTAGTTCGCCTTGTGACTGAAGTGAGGAAATCGCACCAACGGTTAAAACAATGAGAGGCAAAGATGAAACTAAGCATGACCTACTCAGTCGATATTTTAAACACTTGTCTTGCCCTTTCTGTCGATTCTGATTGGCTCTTTGGGTTATTTTCCTTCGCCCAGACTGGCCATTGTAATTATTACTGTGGGTTTTGGTTTTACAACACTGGATCTATAAACGCTTTCAAGGAAATGGTTAAACTTTAATGATTATGGTTGCAATAACAATGGACCACATGACGACAATTCCACATACTCGCTAAACAACAAATAGATTACTGAAAGAATATTTTAAAATAATGAACAAGAGGCAAAAAAGAGAGGGGGAATAGTCATTAATTCTTAACAAAAATAAATGATTGAGTTGATATAAGACAGAAAAATACAAAAAAAAATTTCAAATACAACTACCTCTTATTTGCATCTCACCCGATGTTGAACTTTACCTCAACTGAGAAATCGTGGAATTTGTTGAAAATTGAATTGAAGTTAGCTGCATGAAATAAATATTTGATTGATCTCACCTAAATCGTCGAACAAACTAAAATCTGATGTCTTGACTGCCTTTGATTGCGATTTTGGAAACGCTGGCAATTTCACTGAGATTTTGGGCGTCACTGTAACTTTGACGGATGCTCCAGCTTCCAGTTGCGGATCTGGGCTATTCCAGTCTTTGCGTAGAGTAACCTATATTGGTAATGTATCAACAAAGGATAATGTGTGATCTCAAATGGAGAAAATGAAGGGAAAAAATAAAACAAAAGAAGAAGGAGGAGAGAATGAAGGAAATGATGCTAAAGATGGAGGAGGAGGAGAAGAAGGACATATAAAGGAATGATAATGGTAATTATAATAACAATAATAATAATAATAATAATGTTTATTCAAACTTTTTGCAGAAAATGCTGAATTACAGGATGATAAATTATATTAGCAAGAAATATGGGAGAAAAAGGGGAAAAGCTGTACAAAATTCATTAAGCTACATACAAGTAAAAAACAGCATCCACATAATAACACAGCTATTTTTTCCCAAAACATGGAGCAAGAGATGTCATTTTGTCAGGTAGAGACCAATGTGATGGCACGAAGCTTTTAGAGTACATCAAACATTTGAATCATCAAGAAACTGAAAGGTAATTTTCTTCACTTACAGTATCAGCAGTTTCGTAGCAACTACCACGGCTCCAACTGCATTCGCCCCCGAGAGATACTTTTCCATTCACTGATAGTGAGCGTGAAATTTTTCCCTAAGGGGAAAAAGAGAGAAAATTAATTCAAACTATTTGTATATAGATCATATAGACTACTATACTGTACTTATTTAATCTGTGATGTATTCCTAGATCAGGTTCGTGCTTTGCTGGTTCTTAATCACATCGAAAAACTAGTACAGTCACGCACGCAGTTGCACTAACCAACCAACAAATTGTGAAACTGACTAGCTGACTGCATGACTGAGTGGCTTGCTGACTGGCTCGCCGACTGAGTTTGTGATAGAGGAAATACAAGTACTTGTATTAACTAATTGAGATGTCTCATGATAGTGCAGAGTCATTACGTATACTAAAGAATAAAGATTAAATGGAAGAGTTGCTTCATCAACTTACAGATAATCTAGCAGATGCATATCCTGTTATTTCCAAGAAAATCCCGGCAGGGATTTTAATTGGCCCAACGGGAATATAAATTGAACGACCGAGCTGTTTTTCTCTCATGACGTTTAGGCCTTTTTTATACCTATTGACAACATAAAATAAGATGATTGATTTATTCTATCGGCTAAGTCCTTTTTTGTTCGCAAATCCAACCTGTAGATTAATGTTTGACTCAAAATCGGTATCATATGTTTAATTTGACCCGTACAAAATCTAGTATGACTAAAAGCACAACAATATACTTTGAATAAAGGAAACTGAACGAGACGAAGCGAAAAGAAACGAAATACTACTTACGAGATTTGTAAGCCTAAGAGAAAACGTGATTCGCGAAACGCAAAACCGGCAGATGGTCTAGGCCATAAAATGCACATTTAACCCAGTACTGTGCGGGTAGGGCAAAGGAAAATATGTCGTATTGCAATCGGCACAACCGAAGTGTGGAGCACAAAATCACACAAGAGTCAATCTTAGAAGGGAAATAATAATTTCTCTTCTAAGATTGATAATTCACTTTATTGCAAAAGTGAATTATCAAAACCGTCTGCCGTAAAAAACACCAGTTTCCTATATTTCAAAAAATAAGAGTCATCTTGAGGTAAATTAAACTGCCTACCTCAACTTCCCATCAACACTAAATTCCAGCGAGAAATCTAAGCTTCCCTCTAACTCTAGACCAGCAGTAGCATCCTCTATTCCAACTCCGAGCCACTCTTTTTCTATCTCAAGAAACATAGTCACTTGTAAGAACATTTCCAAAGAGACTTGTACCTTAGCGTTTTCCGTTGACATCAACTGAGGAAAATAAAAATGTAACAAGACATCATTTTGTGGGGAAACTGAGAAGATTTAGATATCTAACAGACAGCAACTTCAACATAATATTTAAATCATTCTCGGTTTGGTTAGAAGACTTTGGCTAAGCTATTGCAAACATGATGTACCTTGTGATGTATTCCGTCGGGTTCAAATCTCGCCAATTCAAAATCGTATCTCGTTGAGCGCCTACTACGTCTGTTGTGGCTTTTCAGTGCATGTATATCTACAGCTGTAGTAATTGTTCCATTTCCGTTCAGTTTGGCAGAAATTACTTCCACCAGAAGAAAATTTCCGCTGGAATACACGTCTATAACCTGAGGTTTGAGATAATGTGAAAAAAAAAAAAATTACAAGAACAAAACACAAGACTCAGATGAACAAAGATAGCTTCATCTAGCTCTAATTCAAGCTAGTATAAATGCACCCAATAAATCTCGAATCGTGACTTTTGTGATACATTGCTCTTTTTTCAGCTCAAGGGGGGAAAGATTGTGAAACTCGTAAAGCGAAAAATAATAAACCGATTACAAATAATATCCTAAAGTTTTATTGAGTAAGCTTATCACTCTTAATTTGCTTTAATTTTGCAGCTCCTAATGACACTTATGGCATGATGGAAGCAGTCTTTGGAACCAACCAGGCTAATTTTTTAGTAAGTCCAATGATTCCCCCCCCCCCCCATTAAATACGAAAATTACCTTTGCAATGAAGCCTCCGCTAGGTCTTCCAATAATTGAGTCATCGACAGAAAACTGCCGACCTCCATCTTCTGGTTTTGACAAAACAAGGCCTTCGTTGTTATCCCCTCCACTACAGGATACTGATCCAGAAAGCCTTTGTTTACTTTCCTGTAGTCTGGTTTGTCGGATTAAGTAAATGGAAATTATCTTAAACAAATACGTAAGGATTGGCCGAGCTTGGCATCCAAGGTTTTTTAATAATAGAACAGGATACTTTAACAGCTTAGTCACTGACACAATCGAAAGTTTCCTACAGAATAATTGTAGATATATTTTAGTTTTATTGAAAAAAAAAAAAGGTTTGTGAAAGAAATGTGGTTGGTTTTGAACGCTGGATTTCAGCTCGGTGGCTACAGTTCCACGTTCGACGGAGTTCGGCTTTTCGGCCATGTCCCTAGTAGCTAGTTCGGTTGCCTTCAGTCGATCATTCATACATGTACGTACATCCGAAAAAAGTCCGTAAACAGTTGAAATATATGTTGATTTAATAAGCATTGATGCGTGCACTTTTTACCAAAGCAAAAATGGCAATCTTGAAGAATAGTGCTAATATGGTAATCAGCCAACAGCTTTCTAGATGCAGATTATGGAAAATGGATTCGATATTGAAATATTGGAAAAAGCAGGTGATATTTCCTTCCCTGTCAAATGCCTTATACCCCAATTGTGCTGATACAAAAATGCCATTGTCTTACTTAGACCCACCCGGCATTTTAGCAAGGTATCATCATTCACATAAATACCTTGTGCCTTGCCATTGAGAATTTGCTTCGCATCTCTGGAATTTCGTTTCCAAATATTCGGTGTTGTTCGTTCTATGAACCTCAACCACAGTCTCAATGAAACCATCACTAGCATTGGACACAACTATGTCACCTGTCTTTGGGATGTTATTGTTTTTCTCTATTACCAGGAAATACGAATGGACAACGATTTTTCCAGTGTCATAGGTGTGACCAAGGCACTTGTATATTTCTAAAAAAAAATAGTTTTGCGAAATGATTGACTGCTCTTGAATATAACTTTCTCTTCCCACCACCACCCCCTCCCCCCACCAGCGACCCCTGGGTAGGTGTTGCATTCACGCGCGATGTGCGTGATGTCATCGAACAGCAAATCATGCCTAGTAACTTGAACCTATTTTTGTTGACTTTGGATTTTTTGTCTATGTATTGTTTTATTTGGAGTTTTCTGATGTATCAGTTCTAAAAGTATACGTAGGATCGAAGTAGGCTTCACACTTTTCCAGTGATAAGAAATAGCAGCGATGTCAGATGTTCAAGACTTTTGCTCACAGGAACGGGGATAATGTCACACGTCCTGTTGGTCTGTTTGTCGTATGCGTGCGTGTTTGCCTACTTGACTGTTTGTTTCTGTATGCACTGACGAGGAGTTCTGTAGGGCACAAAAAATTTTTATAACTATATGATTAATTGTCAATTATTTAAGAAGTGTTAGGCTGGTTGATAAAAAACTGTATACCTACCATTTGTAAGCACAATAACCCGACCTTCATCGGACGTAATGTTGCCTGAAATGACATCCCAAAGGTCATCTTGATCCGGCTCATCCTCAAACGTCGAGTCGTCGTCTACTTGCACGGCAGTTACTTGGTCTCTAAAGTCCGCATATTTGATAACCTCTTCTAATCCTGCTGGAGCGCTCAACATCAATTGAAAAGGACCTTTGGAGACGATATTAAATTTCTACTCACATTAAATGCAATTAGTTATGCCTTCGGTAATTGTAATAAAAAAAAATCCAGTAAGATCAAAACATAATCACAACAGTAACAAGATGTAACAAGATAGCTTATCTTACGTTTGATCTTTACAGGGAGCACAGTTCTCAGGAGAAAGTGAGAAAAATTTTCAAGCACCCCTTGGCTGCAAACCGATATCCACCATTTAAAGTACTGATAACTAATTCTGCCTATGCTCCGAGAAATAAATTACCGACGTACTCCTGTTAAAACTGCAAATTCTCAAATATTCAAGTGATATGATGGGGGACTGTGCAACGCGTGAGACAGAGCGTCATAACCATCACACTCACCATCGCTGATTTCTTTGACTATCTTATGCATGATGCCTCCTGCTTGAGGACTACACAGTATATCACCCTTTTGAACTTTCAGGGCTCTTGGGGCAACTAAAACAAGCGACTCCCTGTCTTGTTTTGGCAAAATTACTGCACATGCATAAATGAGAGTTTCGTTTGGCTCCACAAACTTCACATTTTTTGCGAATTCCACGTTATTTTTCCTCTGGGAATCTGTATAATTAACTTTAATTTTCCCGCCTGGACACTGAGTCTCATTCCACGATCTGCACTGGTTTTCTTCCTGTAATGAGGTTAGTTAACAAAAGTACAGTTAGTACGTACACTGCCTTCGACCCATAGCCAATGGTAAACGCTATACAGTTAATTGCCTGGCTGTGGGGGATGGTGCAGTATGGTTGGCAAATTGTATGATGTCAGGTAACTCGTGGGTTTAAAGCTTCATGAGACGGCAATGAGAAGAGATTGAGGCAGCAAAGTACATAGAGTTTGGATCTCAAATTTATCGAATCCTAGAGCTTCATCGCAGTTTGGAAACGACTTTATCGATTATGTCGCTTTAGTTCACTTTAATTTAATTTCATGCATGGAGCTTGACTTACTTCTTGTGTAACGAGCAGAGAAATAGTATGGAATAAGGAGCAACGCTCATGTTTCATGCGGATAATAGGGAGCTTAAGCAACCACGACGACGAACGGAGGACGACGACGACCGAAAGTAACGTGAACGTCACTGCGCAAGCGCGAACCAAGAATTCCGTCGTCGTCTTGTCGTCGACGACTTGAGAAGGACCTGTTTCACGTCGTCGTGAAATTCTGAACTTCAAAGCAGTTTTTCTCTTCAAAAGGTGCGTGTTTGTTATCGTTTTATTGACAGTCTATGGCCGGTTGGAGTTTGGATTCGCTTCTTCGGTTGATTTAAACCTCCCTGTTCAGTTTTCTAAACAGATATAAAATTCCAAAACCCACTGACTCATTTCCTTCCTCCGCACGACAGATGTCAAGTCAAGCGGTGAAAGCGACCACGTAAGTTTAAATTTATTTGAGTATATTTTATGAAAGAGTGCTGTTTATCATTTTCATTGAATAAAAAGTTTTAAATGGTATACCACTGCGTCCGGCAAAAAGCTGTGTGTATGAAACTGCCGAATATTGCTACTAAAAAATTTTGCGTGTTGTTGTTCTTCAATCGGGACGCTTTAGACAGCGAGGAATCAGTTAAGATCAATGTGTTAACATAAGCTTGAATACCTGTCAGGTTTTGCGAATCTGTTTTCGAAATGTTTGATATAGATTTACAGCCATAAAAATTATTCCGACAAAATCACACGGGAAAAAATAGTATTCTTTTGTGAAGCGCGACGACTGCTATCTGTTCCGATCTATGGCGGATCCAGAGGTGGTTCGGGTGGTTCGGTCGAACCCCTAAATTTTCCCTCACCGCTGGAAATCATGTTTCCGAAGACCTAATTTTCAAAATCTCGGACCCCTCCGGAGGGGAGAAATTCTCCGAACCCCCCTTGACTAAATCCTGGATCCACCCCAGCTGATCGCTAGCTAGCATTGATTAAATTGACAGACTTTTTTGCTCGCCAAAAGAAGGAGCATCAAAGGTAGAACATATCAGGCTAAAGCATGTTGAAAATCAGGCAAACCTTGTGAAAAATAGGTTTGTTTATATCAGCAACACTTAGAACTGAATTTAGATCTCAAATAACTTTCGTAAAATTTCAAAATTTTAACTTTTGCCATGCGCAAATTATCGTAAATAAAGCTGAAGCTTAATAATTCCTTGGACTGTTAATGTTCAAGAATTGAATAACCTACTCTCGAACTTTCGATATATAGTTAGAAATTTGATCCATGACTGAGTAGAATAAGGTTTTGGAGGTCTCTGAACGATTTCATTTCTTAAACTGACGAAGTGAGAATAAACAAGATTTCAGACGACGTCGTCCTTGAGCAACTTCACTGCTTTAAGTTTCATTTTCCCGCCAAAAACTACGTCCTCGTTCCAGACCCTCCGCAATTACTTAACGTCGTCGTCGTCCCTTTCGTCGTCGCGGTTGCTTAAGCTCCATAATAAAAAATGGTGAACATTCTGATCAGTTACTGACCTTAAGACTATAAATTGAAAGGAAAACTAACATGGGACGCGTTACAATCCAATTTTAACAGGGCTCAATGTAGAAAGAGATAAAGGGAGAGACAACGGTTGTCTAATCGCCTGGAGGAAATTAGGAGGACCAAATCGAGTGAGCCCCGTGAGGGAAAGAAAAATGAAAATGACAATCTTACTGTGATTTTGTGACATTTTTCGAGGTCGCTGCATTTTTGACAGGATTCAATAGTTGCTCTTCCATCTTTGAAGTTGCAATGGTAACCTCTGCAGTTCACTCTCTGTATTCAAAAAGAGAGGTAAAAACACATATCATTGATGGATAAACATGGACCAAAGGGTACCCCTGTGTTTCTGTGCCATTCGAGTGATTCTGGTGCCCTAAGACTAATGCCCTGACTGCTCCTGTTGTATTCGTTTTCTTGGGAAAAGTGCATTTCTGCTTGCAGATGATGAAGCAAACACACAGAAAATCATGTTGAAATGCTGTGGTTTATGATCGAAAAACAATAATCTAAACCGGGTAAAAAAGAAAGCTCTGGCTGCCAAGAGCCCCCAGATTTGTATCTTATAACCTTTGATGCATTTATGGGAGCAAAAAAATACAGAAAAATATATCATTTGCTGGCAACAAATACAACACAAAGCAAAACCAAAAAGATATTAAGCAAAAGTTCTCAATAACCAATAAACCAAACCACCCTTTAACCCCTCTTTAGCATTCATTACTTATATCCAATTTGTTGCACCATGGTGTTGATGTGTTTTCATCAGGAATCATTTTTCTCCTCTTCACCTACCATTATATCACGTGAGCAACGTCCGTTTCCTACTGTATAACAGTGATAGTAGAACCAAGCAGGGCAACTTATTCCTGGAGGCCCCGCGGCAAAGCCTCCAAGACAAGAACTTGAACTGTCACACCATCCACAGAATGGGTCTGTCACGCAATCAGTGCAGCTTTCGTACTTTCCACAGAAAGAGTAAGTACAGCCAAGACCCTGCAGAAGTACCCGTGCACTTTTTTTCATTAAGTCGCTTTGGACAAGGTAATAACTACTGTTCTCAAAGATAAAAACCGATGAGTGTTGAACACAATGGTTGTAAATTCATGACAGCACTGACGTCTTTTTAAGCAGAACAGGGTTCTAAAGGGATTCTGGAGTCATTGATCGCAAATAGAGGGCAAAACTAAAGATTTGGTGCTCTATGAAGCATGCTCCATAAACATGTAAGTAGTCGTGCTGGGTATCAAAGTTGCCACAGTCAACACAGTCATGAGCTATGCTGCTATTGAATAGAGATGCCACTTACTAAATATCCAGGGTAGCATTTGCAGACATTAGGACCCATGCATTCACCGTTACCAGAACAGTTATGCAAGTTATGGCAATCAAACTTGGAACAGTCTTCTCCAGTCCATCCGGGATAACAGAAACAAGTGGCACCTATACAGTCTCCATTATGGAAACAGCTGTTTGGGCAGTGGGTAACTGTGAAGCGAAAAGGAAATTTAAGTCTACTTAGATGGTACCTGCTTCCTTCATAAGCAGGTATATCTCCAAGACAAGCAATAACCCATATCGTGGTACAAGACAGGGGTAGAGGTCAGATGAAAACCTCCTTTCCCCTCTTCTCTCGGGTTCGGCTGTGATTCTATGTTTGCAAGACGATTGCAACGTCAGTGGATATCCTTTTTCATCTTCTTATGGAATTTATATCACTTTCTAATGTTTATATTGCTACACCATATGTAGGTATGCTTCGTTAGGCTTTCGAACAAATATTAATTTAATCATAATACAGATGATAATAAGGATAATGAGAACAATAATTACAATGTCGATGAAGGTAATGATATTACCTATGAAATACATATTAGTATAATAATAATAATAATAATAACAATAATAATGATGATGATGATGATGATGATGATAAAAATCGGCCTCTTCCTTGATGGGGCTTTTCACAGCCATCAAAAAAAGTTGTAAATAAACATAGAGTTTTAAAAACCCCAACTGTCAGGGGGCACACTAGTTGGCTATACACAAAGTGCTGTCAAGGAGTCAAACTCGAAGAAAAAGAAGTCCAGTGAGTGGCAGGGTGGAGTCCAAGGTGAAGTCCAGCGCCTTAACTGCTCGACCACACTACCTCCTATATAATAGTCAGTTAAGCATACCAATAGCATTCATTTATCATTTATGATATTTAGTATGATTTACCTGGCCTCCTCACACAAACAAAAGGATGAAGTTCATCACAATGAATTTGTGAAATATTTCCATTTGCAGCAACAACCGGACATACTTTATTATTCTGTTCATATCCACTGTGGGACTGTAGCGAAGAAAAATGAGAAAGTAAATGTGTCAATTACTGCCTTTTTATAAAATGCATCTTTATTTATTTGATATTCAGAAAAAAAAAATAAACCATAAACACACAAAATAAGGAAAGTGAGACAATAAGATTTTTTGGGTGTTGAAAACAACTGTTGACTCAAGAATGTGAGTGTAAAATTAGGTAGTAAAATTACATGAAAGTGAAATTAGGATGTAAGTTTGACAAGTTCTCTCCCAAATTCGTACAACTTCCTTTTACTAAGGATAAAGGACATAGTTGGCTGAGTACAATTTGGACAAATTACCTATGGGTCGCAAACTTATTATTGAACGAGATGTTTATTCACCTTTCTCATGAGGCGCCTGCTTATGGTCCACAGGGAAGGCAACACACTTGAACGAACCAGCGCTTCGTTTTGTCTCAGATATTTTACAAGTCGTTTGTCTTCGTTTGATAACATGGTGATCAGATTTCCACCATAACTCTGCAAATGAACGTATGATAGCATGATAAGGAAGCATATACCAGTTTTCTAAAAAAGGAACCCAACAAAATCATGGATGATGATGGTGGAGATCTCCATCGGCTGCAGCACCCAATATATGCCACCCTAAGTCACGTAGCCCTCAGGCTGAATGACCGCGCCGCCTAATGTAGCGTGGTGCCTACAACTCTTTTCATCAAGTCAGCTCAAACTGACAACTGGAAACAAAATTTATCAAAAGGGAGTAGCGTACACTCGAAAAATAAAGCAAAACAGTAAACAAAGCACAAACAAAAACAAAGCGAAACAAAATAAAAACAACAACTAAAATAAGAAAAAAGAGAGTAAATGATACAGAGTATCACTACCGACTACTCTCACCCCACAATACTTCTCGGCATCAAGGAAAGTGAAAGAGCCTCCTTTGTACAAGTAACACATTTCATCGTGTTTTATCCATTCAGGCGGACAAGAAACTGGAAAAGAAAATTGATGGGTTATTTCGTAATTTAACATCCCAATGATCTTCTCAATAACAAAGTTGGCTGAGTTGAAAATGCAAAATGTATAAACTAATGTTTAGATAATATCCTACATGCGTAGAATTGTGTCTGACAGATTTAGGATTGTGTTTCTTTGGACTTCCTAAAATAAGGTTACTGCTGTCAAAAAAAATCCTCAAAAGTAATCCGTTAAATTTTGATTTGTTTGGAAAAAGAATTACCAACTTTTTAACGTTATGAGAGCACATGAATTTTCTAATCTAGCCGGGCGATATTCTGATGCAAAGAGGGTAAATGTTCTGATGCATAGAGGGTAAATGTTAGGGTAAAATTAAAAGTGAGGCAGTAAAACAGGCTGAAAAATTGACTTGAAAGTCAAAAAAGTTTTACCCGACATAGCTGTTTGAGGCGGCAGCTTGACAAACGGCTGGAAAACAACTGTTATGGACAATCGATAATCCTTGCTCTTATCCAGGATCAAAGAAGAAATAAGCTTTGGTACACCCTCTCCCCACCAATTGAATGTGGCGTTAACAGTGATTGGACTCCCACTTATTGTGGTACTGATCTGATAACGGTTGCTAGGATTTTGCAAAACGTTTCCCAGAATTTCCGCTGCTCCATTGCAAAGAATAGTTGCTCCATAGTTGACATTAAGCCCCTGTGCACCATTCTTGTACAATGTATTATTCACAAATCGAAGACCAACAATACTTGTTTGAGAATTATCATACAAAAAAGCGTAATGGCCGACGTTGTTGTAAAAGAAATTTCCTTGAACGATTGCCGTAAACTTTGAAATGACACAGACACTGTTTGCTGTATTATCCCAATTTCGAGCCAGGTTTTGAGAAAAATAGTTATTGCTCACTATAACGTTCATATAGGGCTCAGAAACGCCTTCTACGCGTAATATGCCACCTTTGTTATTCTCAATGGTGTTAGCATGGATTTGGCTTACTGGTAGGCTAATCGTGGACAGTTCATTGAGTATCCTAGAATAAATTCCTCCATTATTATTTCCGGCGATGTAGTTATTGACTATTTCAAACTCTTGTTTAACAGCAGTGAAGTGAATCGCTCCTGACGGCCTCCCGCTAAGGACTGGATTCAGACCATTGTTTGTTACTTGACAACGTTTTAGTCTAAAAATTCTTCTTCCACTCTGAGTCGACGTGTACCGTACACCTTGTTTAACGTTTCCGCTGAAAACGCTTCCAGTTACTTGATGCACAACAGCAGCTGTTAAGAAAGTAAAGTTCTCATGTCTTAATAAAACTCAAGGCAAAGAAGAGAGAATGATTCTTCTCTAAGCTTTAATATTAAATTTGGTAGGTTGATTAAATCAATAGGAGAATTGCCTAAAAGTACTAAGTACCGGCGTTGCCTTAGAACGCAAAAATCACTCTTGATAAACAGTTACTCACCAAAGTGAAGGTAAATATCCCTCACTTTTACCATCACTGAGGAAGTAAATTCTTGAAGTAGATATTACACAAGCTGAATATCTAGCAGATAAAAACTTCATCTTTTTTTATCAAAAGCTCTCATGTTTTTAAAAACTTGCCTACACGATGTGCTTATCGTCTTTCACAAACTGAAATTGAAAGTTCCATCACTCTTTCTAGAGGACGAATAAAACTTTGGGAGGGAATGATTTAATTGTTAAAGTGTAATTACTGTGTCTTCGTTGTAGCACTTGTTGTCTACACTTGGAATAAAAGGCTTCTCAGTTTTTTTTAAGATTGGAAAGAAAAGCAAAATTAAATTCATATACTGAAAAATATTTGTGTTCATGGTCAGGCCCCCCTCGTTAAATGTCAAAATTTCCTCTACAGAAACCGAAGATTCTCATCGGTTCCTCGGAGAATGATATATTACTTAGCTTATGAACCTCAAGCCAGTTAATCAGCTTTTGCCTAAGCAGTTCGCCAGTGTGGTATGTATTAATTTAAAAAACATCAAAACTTACACGAGTCACAACGAACGAAACCCAGGTCGTCGATAAGAACGTCGCCCCAGGACTTCACATATCCCAGTAACACAACTGAGTGACTGACATTAGCACTGGGTAGCTCAATCACTTTCTTTTCCCATTCGTTCACTGAATCGCTCGTAGACCATAGCAGTGTCGACTTATCAGTACTATCTTCCACAAAATAAACAGATATCGATGCTGAGCGGGAACCCCAAGCATCCATCTTGTAGTAGAACACCAAATAACAGTAGTTGCTGTCATTAAAAATTGATGGGCTGGTGAAGGCACCATAGCCAGATATCCAGGATCCTTTGGCCTCGATCCATAGTACTCTCCCTTCGTAAAAATATGATGAAAAGTAAGCGTTTTTATTTTTTCTGTAAATCACATTTCTCTTTTATACTAATTTCTAACTTTAAATTAATCATTTTCTCCTATACGATATTGCACATTTATAAATACGAGTTTCTGCGTAAAAAGGCAGCCATTTCAATTTATTGAATAGCGCAACAGAAGAGGCGCGTGGTTCTGCGTCGAGTATAATCCTAGCTGCTCTCTTTTGCATCTCCAAAAGAGAGCAGCTAGGATTATACTCGATGCAGAACCACGCTCCTCCTCTGCTGTGCTTTTGAACAAATTGAAATGGCTGCCTTTTTACGCAGAAACTCGTCAGTATTAATAAATGTGCAATATTGTATAGGAGAATGGAGCACGCGGTGCCAGAATATCTTATTGACTCCTTGAAATTGAATAGCTCTTGGCATTCACGTAATACCGGGGTTTGCCAGCTTGAATTTTATTACGCCTACATACAAGAGCAAGACTGAAGGAGGAAGCTCGTTTGTAGTGTCTGCAATACAGGACTGGAACAACTTAAATTGTGAAATAAGGAAGCAGCCGAGTGTAAAATGTTTTAAGCACGCCTTGAGAAAGCAATTTCTACAACATCAAGCTCACTTGCCTTACTTTTGTCCATAACTTTTATTGAACTTTATTATGTATTTGTCAAAAGATACGAGTCGAAAAGCAAAACAAAAACCAGGTGCGAGCCGTTATCTAATAATGTCATAGAGCATGCGTGTCACGCATGACGTCCCAATGTGACAGTATTTATCCGCTATTTCTTCGATTTTTATTATAGAATTATTACTTGTCTATTGTTTATAGTTTAATAATGTAATTTTCATTCATATGTAGTAGAGGGCCACAGTTTATTATTTTTCAACTATTAAGTGCTACCCTCTTTAAATGAAGACTACTACTACTACGTATACTTTCTACCTAGTATTTTTTTAGAACAATATAATTCTACAATTCTTAGTCATACTGCCGAACATAAGGTGCAACTGTTTTACACGTTATTAATCAGACGCTGGGTGCATTCCCCTTCAAAATAACAGAGGAGAGAAACTAAGGAAACTTCGAAACTCATCACCAGGAGAGAAGAATGAAAGCTGGCAGGACCACCAAAACGTTTCCAATCACTCTTTCAGAAAGAGAATGAGCTAATACAACGTTACAGGACAAATCAGAACTCATTTCATTGATACGATGCTGTTTACCACTGCTTACCTTCATACATTGAATAGGTGTGGTCATAAGTATTATATTCATAGCCATAATACCACTGTTGAGTCAGTTCAGTGTTCCCGAAACGTGACTTGGGATAGCGTTTCCAGTCACAAAATCCACGGTCAAAAGAACAAGGTATATCTGAAGAAATTTATGACAGAAATATTAACAGCGTTCATCGTCTCGCCACACTCTACTCACAAACATATCCTGGGTGTTTAGGAGAAGCTATACATTATCCCAAAACAAAGCTTGGATAATTATTCAGGAATATTCAGAATTTTTGCACCAAAAGAAAAAATATCGCGAGCACTACAAGGAATACGACAACCACAATAATTCACAGTATCTCGATAAAGATAACGAGAGTAATGGTAATAATTACGATGACACTGAAAAGCTTCAGCTACTAACCTTTGCTATCAACTCGTTGAACTTGCAAAAGCATTTCGCTACTGTACCATCCTTCGAAGTTGACTGTAAAAGAATCCCACCCTATCATTCTTCGTTTTGAAAATTGACCGAGGCTTCTGCCAGAAGACGCCAAGATTTCACGTTTATCCGGAGTCTCTATCCCAATAGATTTTGAACTTTTTATCACTAGTAGTTGAATAGCAAAGCCGGTATCTCCTTCTGTTTGAATCTTTACCTTGCAGGATACCTTTAGATTTGAAACAATCTTTAATGGTACTCTAAAGTAAATGAATAGATCGCGATTCGTGATATTCACCACTTTTTGTGGGGAGCACAGATTTATGTGCCCGTACGAAATACCATCAATCCAATCGCCGTACACATCATGAAAACTCAGACCATACTCGTTTTTTATCGATTTGACGTTTTCAAGTGAAACGTTGTTTTTCGTAATGATAAGATCAGTTCCATTTCCTCCGGTATTCACGAAGGAACTGTTCGTTATAACGACCTCTTTTTCAGGGAACCAAACCTTGATACCACCTGATGTGCAATTAAGAACAGTCACATTGTTTACTTCTGGAACGTATTGTATCAGCTCAATAGCAGCAACTTTTTCGCCATGTTTCTCCCCACAGTGCACAATCCTTAGGTGCTTTAAACTTGATTTTGGCAGGTTTGGCATGTCCCTAGCTTCGCGAAGAAATCTGATATTTCCCCAAGGCCTTCCTCCGCCACAGTTTAACGCAAGACGGTGCGACTTGTTGCAACTGAAGTTGTGGAACGATAACGTGCATTCTGCCAAATCTACCTCACTCCCTTTACAATGAAGAGCGACACAAGTATCCCACGCACTGAAGGATTGGTAAGAGGAATAATGGATGGACAGTGGTGCTTGATAACCCAGGTGTTCACAAGCCAGTTTGGTGACATTCGCTTTATTGCCTTCCGTCACATTTAAATACAGTGGGGTCCAATTCCCACTGTGAAATATCTCTACACGTCCTCCCCATGGAAACTTACCTCCAGCTAATCTTATTTTTAAAGAATTATTTTTTTTCGTCTTTGAAAGAGAAAATTTGACAGGTTGATCCCCATTTCCACGTACAAAGATTGAACCAAGGACTAATATGCCGACTCCTGGCATAAATTGCACCTCAACACCAGGATCAATTGAAAGTGAGGCTTCGGGCAGGATAGTGACATCGGACACAACTGTATAGGGACTTTTCTCTTTTCTTAGAAGAATGTTAGACAATATCCTTCCTCCCAGAAAACTTTTCGTAAGCCCACTACGGGTCATATTTTCTGGCGAACCTTCCACTGTGTTTCCTGCACTGCTAATGTAGGGACGAAAATCAGCAAATGTGTGTTCGTAGTTGTCTTCAGCATCAAAGATTCTCTCCTTGATTTTTTCCTCGTCATCATAGCCCCAGAAGTTTAAGGAAGCCTGAATTGCACTGCTATGCGAGGATGCAAAGGTGTTTACGCAAAGTTCTTTCGAGAAGTGAACGCTGCTAAACCTGTTGTTATTCACGAAAAATGTTCTCCATTCCATAAATCCGGAGATTCTTACCTCACAGGTTGGTGAATTTGATGATACATCTACGTTGCTAATTAGTGAATTGTTCGAAAACGTTACATTCTTCATGCCAGAGTACGTGTTCTCTTCTACAACGTATTCGCAGTGGAGAAAAACCATAGAAAGTCCTTTATTTAACTTGAAGGTATTGTCAGCAATTAAGATGTCTTTATCCATCCTCTGAATTTCAATGACTCCACTGTTTAAGCATTTGTTGTCTGTGAACACGTTACTCCTTATATTTGCACCGGAAGGAGACGTTTTTTCTAAAAAGATAGATCTTCCATAGTTTTTTTCAAAGACGTTTCCTTCCATGATCAAGACTTTTGTGCCTCCTTTGATGTCTATGACGCTTTTATCTTGGCAGAAGTTAAACAGGAAGCTGTTATTTCTCAAAAATAGTTCAGGAGTGTAGGAATCGAGCGTATCCTTCGTAGTCAAAATAACAGGACCTTGAGTGTTATTTAGGAAAAAGTTTCCATCAAATTGCCATGGATTAGAGTGTGGAGACTCGTTGATGTCTACTACAGGGCCTCGGTTGGCATAAAATGTACAGTTTGTAAAGAAGGTATGGGATGAACAAGGCAAACTGCAACCGTAATAAACTCGGGAATAAACTGAAGATGCCTTATTCCATCCGAAAAAAGTCCTTGTTGCAGAAAGTTTCACTTTGGTATAACTACCGTCTAGATAAAGTCCATATCCATTGCTATGAAAAATACCACCATTTTCAATATGGACTGTTTTTTCACCGTTCGTGTCCACATAAAGTCCATTTTTGGTGGAATTAGAAGCCTTGGTGTTCTCAATATGGACATTACCTGAAAATGAAGAGAGCCTGATTCCAATATTGTTTCTAACAAACTGGCAATTCAGCAGCTTCAAACTGTTTACGTGGGCAAATGCTGTCGATAGGCCATTTTGGGGTGAGTTTCCTACTTCCGTGTGTTGGATTTCTACCACTCCTGCGTCGTCTCCTCCCAAAAAGATTCCTCCATTAGTGTTGTGGCTATAATTTCCTTTAGATATTACGAGGTTTGGTGATCTGACCTTCGTCCTTTCACTACCTGTTGGTCGAGAACAAAACAAAAATTGTCTATGAACACAAAATAAACGGGAGAAGTAAACAAGGTTTCTCTGACTTCTGCATAAGGCTTGTCTGCGAAAGAAAAGAATTGGGAGAAATTACCATTGACGGCGATCAATATCTGACTTTTAAATGTTAGTCACAGCTTTTTTTCCCGCAATGAAGTTATCAGATGATTTGAATGATTATTAAGTAGACTTTAGGCCCATTGATCCTTTCAGTGTAACTCTTGGCCAACTTATTACAAGTAAATGAGTGTATCGGAAAGGTTTAAAATATATATTTGCTAGAAACTGAAACTCGATAATCAAAATCAGCTTAAATTTAAAGACCAATTTACTTAAAAGATCAAACATCTTAGCTCTACAATTTTAACGTAATAGCCAGTCTGGTGTTTTCTTATCCTCAGTGATGAATCCTTTATGACTTCAGGAAAATCAGCAAATTATCTGTTAACGTTAATCATTATCTTTGTTTTGCAATGTTACCGCCAACATGATCAATATTTTAAATGAATTTGTTTATTTCAGAGCTCCTTTTCGGGAAAGAAGAACCCTCTTAAATCTGCCTGACTCATCAAAGCATCTCTTTATAGATCTGATGGTAGCAGCATCCAAATAGAATTTAAAGGCAACGGTTCGAATCCCGTCGAAGTCTGAATTATCCAGGCTTCATTTTTTTGCAATTGCAAAAGTTCCAGTCCACCTACGAGCATCATTCCTTAACTTTATATTATTTATAAATTAGCTGAACTTACTTTTGATGAGAAACAGTAGAAAATGCACCACGTAGTCATTCGGATAATAATTACTCCCTTTCTCCAGTAGGATTGAGCTATTGCCAGACATCCAAACAGGGCGGCTATACCAATCTAACATATGGATATCCCAGTTAATGTCATTTGGTTTTTCTTTTCGATTGTAGACGTGGAAAACTACGCTATGTACATCGTGATAGATAAGCTGCAATCCTATTGTGTATTCCTTTGGAACAGTAATTATGGCCTCGCAAGCTGCTTTGCTATTTGCTGTCACAACAAGATAATGCACTACACTTGAGTCATCAATAAATTTTGCACTTTCACTGCACATGTCCATAAACTTCTTCACACTCGCATCTGCCATTTTTACAACGTGTGTGTTGAGCGCATTCCAGTTGTAGCGATACGAAAATCCGTAGCCTTTTGTGTTTGCGACAGTTGCACCCAGGAGCTCAATAAATGGAGACTCTAAACGTATTCCATCTGATTCAGTGTTAGTTATTGTTGAATTAGCGATTCTGTATGAATCCTCAACGGGGTCTGGATACATAATCTGGTAGCCAATGTAAGCAGAATTGTTCACAGAGACAGCGCCGATCGTGTGACGAAGGAGGTCCGCTCTGAAAGCGATTCCGGGGATCCTCAGGTCGTCTCTATATGGAAAACCTGCATAGCATACCTCAACATGGCTGACAATGCTTTCCTTTGAAGTTACTGCAAGATGAATGCCAGCCCAGTACGGAATTTTGCAACCAACGTACAAAAGATAGGCCGAGCACGATGAAGACGAAATCCAGTTGTTTTTATTACAAAAGGTAATGTTGTCTCCTTGATCTGTATCGCATCGGATATTATGCAAGAATATTTTCTCTTTTCCACTTGGGTCACGGCGATAAGAGTTCACCGGTTCGTATCCCAATTGCCTACATACTATGTCATACTCGTGTCGATAGGTACGAATGCAAACTGGCATCCACGTACGATTGACCCATATTTCAACTACACCTTCCCACGGAGCAGAGCCCCCAACGAGTCTAATGTCCCGATGCAATGGTCTCCTTGGAAGGAACTTCACCGGTTCTTTGTCTGTACCTTTTATGATAACCTTTCCTTGAACTAGGAAAACGCTTTTCAATGGCAATTCTAAAGTGACTTTTTCTGCGATGTACAAAACGCCGTCAGACAATATTGTGACATCACTGATAACTCGGTAGGCATCAGTTTGGTTTGTGATATTGAGGACTTGATTCAATGTTCCTCCTAACTTGTCACCTCGAAGAAAACATAGAGGTCTGGCATCATCGTGTAATCTAGCACTAGTAGAATTGTAGGAATCCAAAAATGGATAATAATAGATCTGTGAAAGTTCCACTCGATCTTCAAAGTCAAACAGTCGGTCTTTTATTTTGCACTCATCACTTGTTCCCCACCAATTTTCTTCCGCTTGAACAACGTGTTCGTGGTCTTTAAGCAGAGCTGCTAACTCGTGAGAGAACAAAGGATTGATAAAGGAATTGTACTTTATGGTAACGTTGCCTCCCTTTACAGTTAAAACTGCTTGCGTTTTGGTACGAAGATAATTGCTAGAAAACGGCCGGATTCGTTGATTGTCTAAAAAGGTATTATTTGCGATGGTGACATGGCATTTTGTGGGTAACGTTCCGCAATCAACGAAAAATATGTTCTCCCCTTTATTCTTCAAGAAGATGCTCGATAAAATCTGCAACTTGAAAGGTGAGGAATGCTCATAGGTGCAACTTTCGCCATGTCTTATTCTCAGAGCAAGTCCACTGTTCTCGTAATATATATTATTAGCCAAGACAGCAGATAGCTCGTACCATTCCGGACCATAGATATCCAAACCATTTTTTTGGTTTCTCTTTACTTTATTACCAGTGAATAAAAGTTGAACGCGTCTTTGCCGCCTAACGCCCCCCCAACCACAGTCTGCAGGATACAACATACAACCACCAAGACGATTGTTGAGAATTGTGGAGTTTGCAACCTTGATGGTATAGTCCTCCGTGCCTTGAGTAAATCTGTAAGTGAGATAATAAAGCACACCGTATTGACTATTCTCTGAAACATTACAGTTTAGAAGATAAACTGATCGAAGACGAGCTGAGTTGTCATCAAGAAACCACAATCCGTTTCGTTTGTTGCCAAGAGCAGCAAAATCCTTTAAGACAACTTCTCCTTCTTGATTTTCTACGTAAAAGCCATCTCTGCCGTTTCCAAAAGAAGACGAAGACTCTATGTTTATACTGGTATCCCCAAAATGGAAAATGTAACCATTTCTGTAATTGTTTGAGGTAGAGATATTGTCTAATTTAAGTCCTCCTCTTTGAAAGTAGTCTGCTTGAACTCCCGTGTAGGAGTTTCCATCAAATTTACAAGAGGTGACATTCAATCTGGTATCGGATAATCTTGTAAACAAAGCCCCATTTTGCGAATTTCCAAGAGACAATACTTTCGCGAGTAGAGCATGGCAATAGCGAAGTGCCTGTAAACATACTCCTTCACCGTTACTGTTACGAATAAACTGCGTGTTGTAAATATTGATTGTGGAGTTGACTTGGTTTAAGATGTGTAATCCTTGACCGGCATTTTCTTCAACATAGCTGTCAGACATTTGGAATGATAGAGTTCCAGCATCGATAACGATTCCTGACGCTTGGTTTTTCGAGGAATTGACGTCAATAAACTCTAAAGCACCTTTCATTTTGGTTACTTTAACACCATTATATTTGTTACGCAGAAACACGGTCGTTACAACAGAAATTTTTCCTTGTGTGTTGCTGGCATAAAGTCCATAAAAGTTGTTCCTTGCCATCGTTGTCTGCGAGATTCGAGAGTTACCAGTCAAATTGTCAACTGTGATACCAGACTTAGCATTGTCAGAAAAAGTACTGTTAAATATCACAAGAGATACAGTCTCGCCTATGAAATACAAAAACCAAGAGGTCAATCGATACCAAGAACATACATTATCAAACATATCATTAATTATATGAGACCGGTCATTTGCTCTTATTATTGGTTAACTCATTCGTTTGTTCGTTCTTTCATTGATTTATATGCTTACCTACTTACTGCCTGAGTAAGCGACTGACTGACTAACCAAAATGAGCGTTCGACCCGCTGAGAGAATTACTGACCGACCAGCAGGCCGACCGAAAGGTGATTGACGGTCTACTTGACAAAAGACAAATTGACGAGATTGCACCACTACCTTTCTGAATGAATAATTAACTGCTTAATCGACCAGGGGACAGACTGATTCGTCTTGTTTAAGGACATAACTAAAAATATAGCTACCTTTATCTTCCATAACGATCATTTCCAAGTTCGCAGGAGCTTTAGAACTTCCTTCGGAATAAAAGGAAACTATCAAAACAGAACTAGAGCCAGTCTTGATTGTCCTTCCATTGTAGGCACTTGTGATTCTGTGAAGTTGGGTTTTGATAGCTGTGCTTGCATCGGTAATATTTAGCTCAAATCCACTTCCATCAATAAGTCGCAAATGCACTGAGATCCTTCTCCCAGGTGGAGCTCTGAAAACCTGAAGAAAGCATAAAAATTTCCATTTGTTTCCCCGGAGGACCTTTCATTTACAAAAAGGGAGCAATATAAAGATACATATGTCTCAAGGCTACAAGTTACAACTATTTTTTATTTTTATGCAGGCACTCGATAGGGTAACTCTCTTTTAGAAAATCCAACACAACATTTTTACTATCAAGATCTCCTTTGCGAATACTTTCTTATTACAAAACATCCTGAAAACAACATTCGAGAGGTGCCAACTGACTTCGCTTGACAATGAAAACAGAAGAGGAGGCGTTGATGTAAGACTTTGCTTCCTCTAACTGCCAGAGCAAACTTATTTGATCATTCGTTGGCTAATTTGAAATAGTTGATAGCCGATGTCAGCAAAGGAATGAAACTCTTCTTAGCCATAGCCTGTCTTCGTGTACTTTAATCTTCGCCGCAATGCATAAATTACTCTCCCCTTTGAGAGAAAAGAAAACCCACTTCATGTAACGGGGGAAGAAGGGTTCTTTTACGATCTCATTATTTCGATAATCATCAAAAGTTAAAACTTTTTTTCATTTTATAGCGATCGCTAAGGATCCATAACTCTCAGCTCATGAAGACCTTTGTGTTCTGCTTAAGTGATTCGCATGCTTGATAGAAAAATTAAATCCCTCCCTACAGAGAGCTTGTCGTTCTAGCTTCTAGAACTTAACGATGTGCCAAAATATGACGAAAAGCCATTGTACATAACTACCATTTAGGAAACTCGGATTAGAAGTCGACTCAAAAAACTTGTTCGAGTGGCTTTGAGTTGATAACTTACTCCATACTCAGTTTCAACCAAATCGCTAAGACATTTTAACTAAAATACGAGATCCTACCTTATTGCAATTAACCGGATGATTATTTCCAGCGGCATTTAGGAGCAAAGGAAAAGAAGCTTTTTCTGAAATGACAGAACAGAATTTCACTGCCAGGCGCTTGTAGACAAGACCTCCTCCAAATCGTGCACTCTGAACTGTGACGTTTTCAATGACAACATTACCACCGGAGCTCTCGATGCTCACGCCAGCCAGCAAAGGCCTTAGGATTGAGGAATCCACTACGGTCAAAGGTTTGGCAAGTTCTCTTATATTTAAGCCAGAGGCGCTATCGTTAATTGTAACATGTTGTATATCAGGAGCGTTTTTCATGGCATTCACGCCCACGAGAGCATTCACCATGTCCACGTGCTCCAGCGAAGAGCTACCAAGTTCCTCTGAGGAATTCGTTGGCTCGAAGTAAATACCTTTCCAGTAAACCTTCTCGGAAAAATAAGGCAAGAGAGTGTCACATTCAATGCCAACAGTCCAACCGTAAGCTGAAAATGGGAAAAAAAAAAGGTAAAGAAAAAAAACCTAATTTCGCAGGAGGTCTATGAGTAGTCGATTTCATAACTTAATGCTTGCAAAAAGGCCGTATTGATATTGTTTCGGGGTCTTTGACTAACGTTTACCCATGTAAAGTGAGCTAACTCTTCGCCGTTTCTTTCTTTTTTTTTTTATCAATCAAACAACTGTCTCCTTGGGTCTAAAGATGGATGGATGATTCGGTTTGTCTTCATCGATAAAGCAAACTCCTAGAGAGTAATATGTTAGTTATTACCGTCAATGTACTTTGTACCCCAAAGTCACACAGTATGCTTGGGCCGCTTGTGGTTTAATATCAAACATCTTTGCTCTTGTAACACAATATTTCCTTAGTTGGGGATATGATGCGTGACGAGCAAATATCAAGTATCTTTTGCTCTCTCATGTTATATTTTACTTAAGTTGTCGTTACTTTGCGTAAAACTTTACTCGCATGAATTTTACTCGTACTTTTTCGTATTTTTTACTCGTATGTCTTCGTATGTATTCGTATGTACCCGTATGTTACTCGTATGTTTGTCGTATGTATTCGTATGTATCCGTATATTCCGTATGTTACTCGTATGTTACTCGTATGTTACCCGTATGTACTCGTGTGGTGTTTTAGTCATGTTGTTACAGTTACCCTAAAACAGTCCGGCCATAGACGGTTTAATCCATGC